ATTTAACCACACTGAAAGAAGAATGAAGAGGGGCTGCCTCTTCTATTAAAAAAAATTATATATAGGGGCGCCTGGGTGGCACAGTCAGTTAAGCGTCTGACTTCAGCCAGGTCATGATCTCGCGGTCCGTGAGTTCGAGCCCTGCATCAGGCTCTGGGCTGATGGCTCAGAGCCTGGAGCCTGTTTCCGATTCTGTGTCTCCCTCTCTCTCTGCTCCTCCCCCGTTCATGCTCTGTCTCTCTGTCCCAAAAATAAATAAACGTTGAAAAAAAAAATTATATATATAGAGAGAGAGAGAGAGAGAGAATACAAATGTATATTACATACACACATATATATACCTTATGCTATACATATGTTATAAAGTTTTAAAAGCTTAAGTGTGTAACAGTGCATGAATGAACGGACCAATGGAAAAGAAAAACCAGAAATATATATGCGAATTTAGAATTCGAAAAGAATGAAGCCAAATACATATGGGAATTTAGTATTGGAAAAGGTGATACTTCAAATTAATGAGAAAAAGATATTGACAACTGAGTATCTAGAAAATATAAGTTATAACTTACCTAATAAAGTTTTAGATAAAAATAGGAGCCTTTAGGGGCGCCTAGGTGGCTCAGTTGGTTAAACATCCGACTCTTGATCTCAACTCAGGTCTTGATCTTGGGGTCATGAGTTCAAGCCTCACATTGGGCTCTGCACTAGGTGTGAAGTCCACTTAAAAAAAATTGAAGCGTTTAAGTATTTTGTACAGTATTACAAAAAATGATACAAGTAAAATATAGAACATTATTAAAAAATCTCAGAAATATAAGAAATCTCTTAGAAGGTGGGGTCAGGCATTGATCTGTTCTCATGGTATAGATCTGGACTCTTACCCAACGGGTCATCTATTATTGCTTTGAATAGTGAAGATTTAATCATGTGATGCTGGAGCAATTGGACATCCAAAGGGGTGGAGGTGGAGAACCTCAACCTAAGTTTCACACCTTACACAAAAATTAACTCAGGGGGTGCCTGGGTGGCTCAGTCAGTTAAGCATCTGACTCCTGATTTCGGCTCCGGTCATGATCCCAAGGTTGTGGGATCAAGCCTTACATCCGTACTCAGTGTGGAACCTGCTTAAGATTCTCTCTCTCTCTCCCTCTGCTCCTCTCCTCAATATATATATATTAGAGGGGCGCCTGGGTGGCGCAGTCGGTTAAGCATCCGACTTCAGCCAGGTCACGATCTCGCGGTCCGTGAGTTCGAGCCCCGCGTCGAGCTCTGGGCTGATGGCTCAGAGCCTGGAGCCTGTTTCCGATTCTGTGTCTCCCTCTCTCTCTGCCCCTCCCCCGTTCATGCTCTGTCTCTCTGTGTCTCAAAAATAAATAAACGTTAAAAAAAAATTTTTTTTTAAATATATATATTAGAAATATTTTTTAATTAACTCAAAATGGATCACAGACTTACATACTTACATGTAAACCTATAAAATTTTTAGAAAAAGCACATGAGAAAAATTTCAGGATGTAGAGCTAAGAATTCTTTATCTGACTCCAAAAGAATGATCCATAAAAGAAAAAAACTGGTAAGTTGGACTTCATTAAAATTAAGGACTTAAGTTCTACTTTTTAAAAAAGCAAATCCTGTTAAGGGGATTAAAAGACAAGCTGTAAACTGGGAGAAAATATTTGTAAGCCACATATCAAAGGACTTGTATCTAGAACACATACATAAAGAACTCTTAAATATCAACAGTAAGAAAAACAATCCAATTAGAAAATGGGCAAAAGATATGATCAGACATTTCAATGAAAAGGATATACAGATGGCAAATAAGCATATGAAAAGATGTCCAACACTAGCCATTAAGGAAGTACAAAAATAAAATAAAAACTAGTAACACAAATGCTAGTGAGAATGCAAAGAAACTGGATCACCCCATATTGCTGGTGGACTGTAAAATGGTGCAGCCATTCTGGAAATAATTTGTCAATTTCTTTAAAAACTAAACATGCAACTGGGGCACCTGGATGGCTCAGTCAGCTAAGTGTCTGAGTCTTGATTTCAGCTCAGGTCATCATCTCACTGTTCATGAGATCAAGCTCTGAGTTGAGCTCTGTGCCTACTGCGCAGAGCCTGCTTAGGCTTCTCTCTCTCCTCTCTCTGTCCCTCCCCTGGTGCGTGCTCTCTCTCTCTCTCTCTCTCTCTCTCACACACACACACACACACACACACACTCTCTGTATCCCAAAATAAACTTTTAAAACAATAATAATAAACTAAACATGCAATTGCCGTATGACCCCGCAGTTGCACTCCTGGGCACTTATCCCAAAGATTTTCATTTAACATAAAAACCTGTATACAAATGTTTATAGCAGCTTTATTCATGATAACTCCAAAGTAGAAACAACCCAGATATCCGTCAATAGGTGAATGATTTTAAAAGTGGTTTCATTTTAGCACCTGGCCGACTCAGTTGGAGGAGCTTGTGACGCTTGATCATGGGCACATGAGTTAGAACCCCACATTAGGCATAGAGATTACTTAAATACATAAAAACTAAAAAAAAAAAAGTGATTTCATTTTATTCATACCTTTTTTGTACACTTTTGTTAAAAAGGAACACTATTGATACAACACCCTGAATAAATCTCCAGAAAATTATGCTGAGTGAAAGCAGAGAATTCCAAAAGGTTGTGTAATGCATGATTCCATTTACATGACATTCTTGAAAGGACAAAGTTATATGAAGAACAGGTTAGTGGTTGCCAGGGGGTGTGGTTATAAAAGGGGAAATGAAGGATCCTGGAAGCTATGGAAAGGAAATGTTCTGTATCTTGACTATATCAATGTCAATATCTGGGTTGTAATATTGTACTACAGTTTTGGAAGGTCTTACCATTGGTAGGAACTGGGATGAAGAGTACACATGATCTCCCTCTATTATTTCTTACAACTGCACACGAATCTACAATTATCTCAAAATAGTTTAATTTTAAATATCTAATTGATGGGGTTTTGGGGTCATGGTGGGATTCTGAGCCAACAGCCAAGAAGGAATTCTTGAAGACATCTTTGGTGCAAAAAGGTGTTTTTACTAAACACGGGACAGGACCTGTGGACAGAAAGAGCTGCACTGGGATTGTGACAGGTAACTGATTATATTCCCTCATGTTGGGAGTGTGGTTAGGGACAGCGTAAGTCTCTAAGATTTGGAGGCAAGGATTCCAGGACCTTGAGGGGCTAGCTGTTGTTAGGAAAATGGCATTTATTACCGTTTAGTAAAAACGGTATTTATCTCTCTGTTATGAGACCCTTCAGATGTATATCAGGGGACCACAAGCTTGGAATATGATTCCCAGCATATACCTTGGGGGAGTTGAGATAAAGGAAGTTTCCAAAGGTAAGGGAATTTTTCATTTGCCTTAGTTTCCCACATCACCATGGCAAGCACTTAAACCCCTTTCCACCTTGGGCAGGGCAAGTAGGTGGTGGTGGTGCTAGTTTGTATTTTGCCCTCAGCTGTGTTATGTTCCCTCATCATTAATCATGTGGCATGGTCTTTCCTTCCCCTCCAGTGGTTTTCCATTGTTAAGATATGAGATCCTAGAATGCTAAAATCTGTCCTCCTCCCAGGACTGCCAGCTCCCTTCAGGCTTTCTGTGTTCCATCTGAGAAGGAGAACAAAGGAAAAAGGAAATGTAGATAAAATTAAATTTCCTTACAACTTGCAGCCCTTTGACATACTTGAGACATGAAGATTATGACATTCCTCCAGGAACTCTCAACCGTCTTAATACTTTACTATAGGCAAAAAGCAACCTTAGCTTAACAATAACCAGACCTGCAGGACACTGCAAGTCCTCGTTAACATATGAAAGTCCTTTTGGAGGGGCACCTGGCTGGTTCAGTTGGTTGAGCCTCCGACGTCAGCTCAGGCCACGATCTTGCATTGGGCTCACTGCTGTCACTCCTGAAGGACTGTCTCTACCCCACCCTCCAACTTAAAAGTATATAACCAATTGCTCTTCACAATTCCAGTATAGATCTTTCAGCCCACGGTCCTGTCCCATGCTTTAATGAAACCACCTTTTTTGCACTGAAAACATCTCAAGAATTCAAGATCGAACTCAAGATCGTTCGCTCTGGGACGCCAACATCACATCACATCCATAACTGGCATTCTTTCAGCTCCCTGGCTTGACCTTCTGGGGAGTTTTTGCAAATGCTGTTCCTGATGGGGTTTTGGAGTGATGGTGGGGTCTGAAGCCCACAGCCAAGAAAGAATTCTTGAGATGTCTTTGATACAAAAAGGTGATTTTTTTAAAGCACGGGGACAGGACCCATGCGCAGAAAGAGCTGCCTGGACCGTGAGGCAAGAGTGGTTATATACTTGGGAGTTGGTGGAGGTAAAGTCAATGGGAAGTTTCCAAAGTCATATGCTAAAGGCTCACAGGATTCTGGAGGCTTAACTATTGTCAAGCTAAGGTTGTTTTCCTCTCTAACAAAAAACATTAATCAGACAGTTGGGAGTTCCTGGAGAAATGTTACACTCTGCCTGCCTCAAGTATTTGTCAATGGGATGCAGGTTATAAAGGAAATTTAATTTTATCTACCATTTCCTTCTGCCTTTATTTCCCAAGTCACGATAAAGCCTCAAATCCTAGGACAACCTCCCTAACTTCTTTGACTAAGTCAAACCTCTTTTAAGTTCTTCTTACCCAGTGTTTTCCTCTTTGGTTGTACTTCCGTTTACTGCTGCACCTTTGCATTTGTTTGCACGATTACTTGATTAACGTGTTTTTGTTACTAGGCAGGTAGTTCTACGAGGAGAAGACCTGTAGCTGTTAAATTGTTCGCAAAACAGCTAGCTCGGCAAGACGAACGCTTACTCATATTTAGGAATTGACGAACTGAAGGAACGCCAACCTACTGGCGAGGCTCTCTGGGCCGGAAGCGTTCTATAGGCGTCGCGCGCGTAGTACGTCACTTCCCCCCACCCCCTCTACAGGAACCACTCAAATTCCTGTCACTTCTCTGACTCCCTTCGTCGTGGATATGGCTCTGCCGCCCTTTTTCGCCCCAGGTCGCCCAGGCCCGCCGCCCCCGCAGCCGCCGCCTCCCGCTCCCTTCGGCTGTCCGCCACCGCCGCTGCCCTCCCCGGCTTTCCCGCCGCCTCTTCCCCAGCGGCCCGGCCCCTTTCCGGGGGCCTCCGCCCCCTTCCTCCAGCCCCCGCTGGCTCTGCAGCCCCGGGCCCCCGGGGAAGCCTCTCGCGGCGGTGGCGGCGGCGGCGTGTACTACCCGGTGCCGCCACCGCCGCTGCCTCCGCCGCCGCCCCAGTGCCGGCCCTTCCCGGGGACTGACGCTGGTGAGCGGCCACGGCCGCCGCCGCCAGGCCCGGGGCCGCCGTGGAGCCCCCGTTGGCCTGAGGCGCCGCCGCCGTCCGACGTACTCGGGGACGCGGCCTTGCAGCGCCTGCGCGACCGGCAGTGGCTAGAGGCGGTGTTCGGAACCCCGCGGCGGGCGGGCTGCCCACTCCCTCCACGCGCGCCCGCCGGGCCCAGCCTGGGCGAAGTGCGCGCGCGGTTGCGCGGGGCTCTGCGCCTGGTGCGACGGCTGCGCGACCTGGGCCAGGCCCTGCGCGAGGCCGAGGCTGACGGCGCGGCCTGGGTATTGTTGCATGCCCAGGCTGCGCCGTTGCGCGCCGAACTGGCCGAGAGACTACAGCTGCTGACCCAGGCCGCCTATGTGGGTGAGGCGCGGCGGAGGCTGGAGAGGGTCCGGCGCCGCCGGCTTCGGCTTCGCGAGAGGGCTCGGGAACGCGAGGCCGAGCGGGAGGCGGAGGCCGCGCGAGCAGCGGAGCGCGAGCAGGAGATTGACCTCTGGAGGGTCAAGTGCGTGCAGGAGGTGGAGGAGAAGAAGCGGGTAAGAGCGGCAGATGTGCGGAGGCTGGGGGTAGTTCAAGTCTGGAACCTGAAGGGCCGTGAGGTTTTGCGCTGTCGTTTCCTACAGCTAAGCCTTTTTCCTCAGCCGTAAATTAAAAGATAGCCAGCATTTCCGACATCGTATCCCTATACTGATTGCCTGTTAATGTTGTATAATACAAAACATAAATGCTCCAGGTGCACCGCGAGTTGTGTAAACACAAAGTATAGGATTACACAATGGCGTTACAGGGATGACGGACGCCCTGCCTCCTATTACAACGTTCTGTCCGCTTACTAACATTCAAGGCAAACAAGAATCTGTGTCCTTGCTTCTTGTACTGGTCTGGCTGATTTTAAGAATACAAAATCTAGAACACGTGGGGCCTTGACGCAAGGAACATATACTCTAATTGACTGATGGGGCTATAGTGATGACTTCTGCAGGATCCCTTTGTTTAGGAGTTTTAAACCAGGTATTTCCAACCCCCGCCCTTCCCCCCCCCCCCCCCCCCCCCGTTAAACAATGGTGTTTTTGAGCACTTGCCAAATACTAGATGCTGCTCTAAATTCCTTGCATATACCAGATCTTTAATCCTTGTAACAACCCTGAAAGGTAAGCCATTTTACAGATTAGGAAATTGAGGCCTAGAGAAGTTAACTTGCCAACAATCACACAACTGGTTCCTAGCTGTTTTGCTCCTGATTTGAGTCCAGATTGGCTGATTCCAAAGCCTCTTGATCTTAAGCTCTTAAGTAGGGACCAGAGTGAAACTGGAAATTGGTCAGATAGTTGTTTAAGGCATTCTCATTACTTCTGAGTGCCTGTAGGTGCTTCCCCTGTCCCTTCACTCTACAACTAGTTAGTATTTTCTCCTTCTCATACTCCTTGTGTCTGTTACTGCCTAGATTCTGATATAACTCCTTCCAGAAATGTAGTGATGGCAAACTTTGTCTTCACACCTCCAGGAATATCAGTACTTTTAAGGAGAATACTTGGAGGCAACACTGTAATCTAAGGAGTTTGTATCAGTTTCACAGACATTTAATAAGAACCCATTATGTGCCAGACCCACTGCTGGGTGCTGGTGATAGGGACGATTAGGATATAGTGCTTGTCCTTGAGGGGCTTAGAGCCTCGTGGGGACCATGTCTATACAGCATGGTATGTGTTAGGGTTTCAACTGTAAGTGCTATGGGAACCCAGAGAAGGAATATCCAGTCTGTTGGGAGACAGGGTAAGGGAAGGCTTTGTTGATGAGATAGGGGACCTCTGACCTGAGTCTTGAAGGAAATGTCAAAGCCAAGTGAAAGCAACAGGTGCAGTTCCAGGCAGAGAGAGTAGTACAAGCAGAAGAAGGAAACTGTATGATGTCTGTATGATGTGGTGGTATTGGTGGAATTACAGGCACTTACTTGATACACGGGTTGAGAGCTTTAGGCAAAAGGATCTTTCTTACCACCCACAATGAGGGGGTTGGAGACAGGGTCCTGTGAGTGGTGGTTTAAAGAACCAGAGTTATTTCGTCTACTTGTGAACCAACTTAAGAGTAGGATAGGGTCTTATGAAATCTTGCCGTTTGCAACTACATAGATGGAACTGGAGGGTATTATGCTAAGTGAAATTAGAGAAAGACAAAAATCATATGACTTCACTCATATGAGGACTTTAAGAGACAAAACAGATGACCATAAGGGAAGGGAAACAAAAATAATATAAAAACAGGGAGGGGGACAAAACAGAAGAGACTCATAAATATGGAGAACAAACAGAGGGTTGCTGGAGGGGTTGAGGGAGGGGGGATGGGCTAAATGGGTAAGGGGTACTAAGGAATCTACTTCTGAAATCATTGTTGCACTATATGCTAACTAATTTGGATGTAAATTAAAAAAAAACAAAATTAAAATAAATAAAGATGGTAATGGTGTATATTTCAAACAAAACAAAACAAAACAAAAACGAGTAGGATCGGGTGTTCCGTGTTGGAAAGGCTGTCGTGTCACAAGATCCTTGGCACTTTAGAACACTGGAGTGCAAGCTATGTGTGTTGTGGGTCACTGACAGAATTGTAGAGTCCTGGGCCTTTCCAACCCCATTCCTTATCTTCCATTCTAATCTAAGTCTTTGGGTCCAGGAATCTGCACTTCTAACAAGAGAGCCCCAACTTAAAGCAAGTTGGATGCAGATGTTCCTTGGACTGCACTTGGAGAAATTCTGAGGAAAAAACAAAGATGAGCTCCCACATGGAAGCTGCAGAGAAGATTAACCCCTTGGCTGGACCAGTGTGGAGAGCAGTTGTGTATAGCCCAGGAAATTGGGATGTAGATCCTATAGAAATTCTTATCCCTGAGACTGCCTAATCCTCTGAAATCTCACTGCTGGGCAGCTGTTCTCTGCTTTGAGGTTGTTTCTAATACTAGGTTTCATAGACTCTCTTTCTTTTCCAGGAGCAGGAACTTAAAGCTGCTGCTGATGGTGTCTTATCTGAAGTGAGGAAAAAACAAGCAGACACCAAAAGAATGGTGGACATTCTTCGGGCCTTGGAGAAATTGAGGAAACTCAGGAAAGAGGCAGCAGCAAGGAAGGGTAACCATGGCTTTGCATTTCTACTTGGATTTATTCATCTCATGCCCCACTCCTTCCCTTTCTTTATCCTAGTGCCCTCCCTCCCCCAAATTTTTGAAGGAAAATGTTTGATAATTAATTATTTTCACCCAGTAAGGTAACAAAGTTTGTCAGTAGTACCTCAGAATCTTTGAAGCAGGAAGCCTCAGAAATTGTTCATATCTTGATTGACAGGGTTGAAAAGAGAGGCAGGTGTGGGAACCCACTGCACTGCCTTTCCCTTGATTCATCATCCCCTCCTCCCCCACCCCCAGGCATTCCTGGCCACTTTTCTGAGTGAGGTTGGCATGGCTAGTCACCTTTGCCCATGTGCCAAGGCAGAAGCTGTCCTATATTTACTGTTTACTTTACTTTGCTTTAGAAGGTGTTGAAAACTTGGCATGCTCCTTTGGATATATTTCAAACCTGAAACATTGATATTTTTACAGTTATGAATGGTTGGATAGGGCAAGGAGCACCTTGCAGAGTGTACATGAATGTTTTCAGTTTACATGGCTGTCACTTTTGGATCAGAAAATCTCATTGGTTTCCTCTTGCCTCTAGAGGGAGCACTGGTTTTCTAGAAGTTCCCTAGTTGTGCTTTGAACATTTGCCTATCTTGATCTTTGCTTTTACCAGTCTATTTGTGTGGAGGGCCTTTAGTCCCATCTTTGCCATTTTAAGTTCTCACTGTTCTTCAAAACTAAATACAGATGCAGCATCCTCCACCCTTACCAGAAATGGGCTGAGGTGACCTGCTCCTTCTCACTTGTACCTGGTTTGGACCACATACTGCCTTATTTAGTAGGCTATAGGCCGTTAATATTCACCAAGGATATTTGAGAGTACACAAATTAGCAAGTACCATGGTAGCAAATTATTTCCCCTGTGTGGCTTAAAATATAAATGAAAACTGTGAGTCAGACCCTTCGTAATTAAGTTTCATTGGGTTGTGATCATTATGTATTCAGCCAAGCTCATTTACTAGCTAAGTGATAAGTTTCTGCATGCCAGCCTTTAGAGCGGTTGATTCAGATTCAGGCCTCAGATGACACCCATAGCACATTCATGAGTCAAAGGGGAGTTTGCATCTACTGTGTCTAGCCTTACCTCTTTTTTACGAGAATGAAAACCTGAGGGCTATTATTTAATATTCCCCTACCCTATGTCCTCTGTGAGGTAAGTGGTCAGTAAACTTTTGCCAAGTGAATTTACTAGCATAATTTCTCACTCTTAGTCTTCCTCACTTTCATCCAAAAGGAGGAGGAAATTTTGGAGGAATTGTGATCTATAAAAATAAGCAGCCTCTGTGGAGTTAATGGGCTTGGGCGTAAAATGATTTGGTAACAAGCAGCTAGTTGCGTTATATACTTAATACTTCTCTCTCAAGGTGCATATACCTCCAACTAAGTACTGAGAGAATGAGGTTGGATATGTAAGTAAGCAGGGCCACATTGCTAAGTGTCTTATGGGCCAGACTAGACTTCTCACCTATGCTTAAAGGTGAGAGGAACCATGAAAGGTTTTAAGCAGAAAGTGAAATGACAACAATGATTGTTGGGCAGAGCAGAGAAAGGTTTGCAGCATCTAGGAAGGAGGGAGGAAAGGAGAGAGACTAAGAAGGCTGTTATAGTCTGGGCACAGATAATATGGGAGTGTGAACTATGGGTCATTAAGAAATGAATAAAGGAGCGAGGGAGAATACACATGTATAAATAAACAACTTGGGAAACTCAGCAGTAGTAGGAGGAATATACTTGGTGTTGACAAGTTCAGTTTGGGACCTGTTGAGTTTGAGGTGCCTGTTCATCAGCATGTAGCCACAAGTAGGAATAACCTTAAAAGAGTTGTGTGGCCTGAGATGAGGCCAAAAAGACAAAATCCTAGGGAATGTAAAAATCAAGATGAATAAACAGGTGGCCACAAGAGAGGTCAGAGAGATAGGAGAAAAAGGTAGGTCCTCTGCCTCCTTCTGGAAAGTGGCAAATGCTCAGAAAGATTGTGTAATCTCAGGCAGGTTACTTAAACTTCTCTTTGCCTTGATTTCCTCATCTGTAAGAAGGACGTTTCTAAAGATTAAGAGACATCCATGGGAGGGGTGCCTGAGTGGCTCAGTACGTTAAGCATCCCACTTCCGGTCAGGTCGTGATCTCACAGTTTGTGAGTTTGAGCCCTGCATCGGGCTCCGTGCTGACAGCTTAGAGCCTGGAGCCTGCTTCCGATTCTGTGTCTCCCTCTCTCTCTGCTCCTCCCCTGCTCATGCTCTGTCTCTCTGTCTCTCTCCTTCAAAAATAAATAAAAACGTTAAAAAAAAAAAAAAAAAAGAAAAGAAACATCCATGGGAATTAGTACCCAATAGATGATCAGTGACTTATGCTAGGTGCATTTTTTCAGTGAAATGGTATGGGTTGAAGCCAGACTAGACTACATTAAAGAGGGAATAAGAGATTAAGAAAAGCAAACAGTGAATTCAACTTATTAAAAGTTTGCCTGTGGTGCTCACCTGGTTCAGTTGGTTGAGCATCCTACTCTTGATTTTGGCTCAGGTCATGATTCCAGGGTTATTGGATCAAGCTCCGAGTCAGGCTCTGTGTTGATGT